AAAGAATACTAATGTCGTAATATGCCACAATCAATTCCAAAGGAAAAGAAGAAAATGTGAAGAAATGAAAAGGAAGAGTCTATATATTATACGCCATACCAAACTCTGTGTGTTAACAGCCATTTGTACAACATTAATAACCACATAGGACAGCGAGCAGATTATTATTGGACTGAGCACTTTGGACTGATGCTTCTGACTATGTACAGCTTTTTTTTTTTATTCATTCACATGAAAAAAGGATACAGGACATGGTGATGCCTCACTCAAGTGGAAAGCACTTATGTTGACGGCACCACTAAATAAATACATATAATAAAGAAAAGAAACAATCGCAAATTTAAGACAGGCAAAAAACAGTAAATACAAGAAATTCAAGAGCGCAGGTCCGGTTCCCCACCCAATGATAAATGATGGCAAAGAGGACACAGTACATAAATAACAAAGGGGGAAATTGAAATATTTTAAAAACGTTCTGATGTGGTGATGAAGTTTTGGGTAAGTGATAATATATTGGAGTTAACAACTGATGAGAATGCGGTACTGCCACGGAGTAAAAGGTCAGTTTTTGCGTTGTCAGAAAGAGTTGTAAAATCTAAGGTGTGTCCTATGAGCCTGGATAGTTTGCCAAGGAGAGTAGATCGTTGGGAGTTGTACAGCTTAGAGGTACATATCCAATCTTTTGTCAAAAACTTCTCTGTTACATTGCGGATCTTCGCTCTTCGTTAAAAATGGAAAAAATCTCAAGATTCATTCCAAAGATCTCAATGTTGCAAGAGGCAGAAAGTTATATATGGACAATAGGGTCATCGCGATGCCAGAAAACTGCGGGGTCTGTCATTTAATTTACGTCAAGAGAAAACCCGTTCAGTTAGAAAATGAAAATAATTTTGTAAGACCGTTGTCAGTAAAAAGCGTTTCGAACGCCCGTAAAATGGCATTTTAGTTCTAGAAATAACTTCCTGATAACTTCTAGAAATAACTTCCTGATACCTTCCTGATTCCTTTATAATCTCCAAGTAGACGTAAGGATCAAAATCATTCTCGGTGTTTTACTCCTGTTTTTGTAACTGTCACATTTCGAACTTTTTTCTAGTATATGTTCGTCTCAAAGTCTTATAAATACTAGACGTTACAACATAGTCGTGTGCTACACACACACACACACATACACACAATACATATCGGCGTGTGTACTAATTTTAACCCTACCTAGACCGGGCTTTTTTTGACATGGGGGGGACCGGGGGGGGCTCTTTTGACCCCCCTAAGAACTCGCGAACGGTATGTCGTATGACCACCAAATTTTCAGAGAATGGTGTACTAGTAAAAATTTATCACATCTACAATTTGTATGTCGTTATGACGTAATATGACGTCATTATGACGTCATTAATGTGATTTTATTGGCCAAAACCGTCTAAATAGGTTTTTCCCTGAAAACTAAATGGTATTCAACATAACTGTACCAAAAGTGTTTGTGACAGAATATTATGGTGTACTAAGTCTAATGTTGCCCATAGCAACACCGGTGACGTCATAAAATGACGTCATGCATATATAAGATATCCGCCATCTTGGATCATCAATCTTGAATTTTCAAAAATAGTTTTTTTTCATGATAAAGCCTAAAATACATTGTAATCATACTAAAGACCTTCATTTAAATCTTTTTGGGAAAAAGAAATGGAAGTATTTATGAAATTTTATTGAAAATAACCTGTATATACCTGTTCTAATGATATGGTCCGCCATCTTGGCTTTTGGCCAATGACGTCATCAAATTAGCATAAATTATGCATATTTAATGATAAAATTTACATAAAATTATATGGGATGTTATTAATATTAGAAACCATGAGCAACTTGACATAAAACTCATAAAATTCTATTGTTGAAACAAAAAGTACTAAATTTAGCAAAAAATGGCTGTCAGAAACCCGTTGCCATGGCAACACAAAAAATTATTATCTTATTCCAATGATAGAGAATTGTTGCCAACAATATTCTAGGAAAAGTCACCAAGTTTCGCCGTTCTACGGCTAGCCGTTCAGACGCTAGTTGACATCAAAGTTGCCGCGGGCACTTTTAGCCCCCCCCCCCCGTCGTAGGTAGGGTTAAAAGACAGTGAAGCATGGAGCTATATATTATTTGAGTCCTCAGATCAGTCTAAGAAAACCCAGAAGTGCAAACCATTGACCAACAAAAACAAGGCCAACATCACTATTCCGTATGTCCAAGGAGTATCTGAGAAACTCCGACGGATCTTCCAAAACTTCAACATAGCCACTAACTTCAAACCTCACTCAACCCTCAGACAAAGACTGGTACACCCTAAGGACCGACCTCACAAGGGTACCAAGGCGAATGTTATTTACAGACTCAAATGTGAGGAGCCCAATTGTAACAACACCTACATCGGAGAGACAAGTCGACCGCTTAAAGTAAGGTACAAAGAATGATTGCCGACCTAGTGCCAACGGCTACTCCTCAGCTATTTTCCACCACCTACAACACAACCAGGGTCACTCTTTCAAACTCGAGTCCACGGATGTCTTAGACCGCGAAACACGCTGGTGGGAACGGGGTGTTAAAGAGGCAATATATGAAAGAATGTACAACCCCACCCTCAACAGGGAAGGGGGGCTACGGGTCGATCTTTCCGGCACTTGGGATTTGGCACTCCCAGCCCCGAGGACAGACAACACTTAAGCTCCTGTCCTGTATAACAGGAGCTTTCAGACTAATTTGCATCATCTTGTCTTGACTTGACTTGTCTGACCTTTGTTCCTTTTTCGACTTCCAAAAAATTTGTCTTCACTTTATTTGCATATCAATCAACAGGTTGTGTATATAAACCTGCTTTCCCCTCTGGTCTCTCAGTCACTGACGAAAGCTAGTGGATACTAGCTGAAACGTCTGACGTTTTCAAAATCATATCCAGTTGCTTGAGTAACTGTTTTTTGGCATATCGTATTACCTGGATGTCTAACCTTCATCGACGTATCCTCAAATTATAGCTCCATGTTTAACGTGGACGAAATCCTGCAAAACAAAATTTTCAAATGTTTGAAACTATCGGGTTTGCTTTAAAAGGTTCATACGTTTTTCCTTTAAATCTGACAGCCTTGAATTCAAGTTGCCAACACAATTATCGATCTAGCCATCAGACGTTACCGATGTGACCTGCAGTAAACTTTCCATGACCCTCCCGCCGTCCCAACAAGCCCTGACCTCCTCACCCTGTCTGTGGACACACGTACTGCAGGAGCTTAGAATAGTTCACTCCTTCCTCCTGTTATCAGGCAACGTATGAAAAATCAACAGACAGCTGTGCAGGAAATTAAAGTGTGGAATATTTTTCACTCGTCTGAGTTAGGAAGAGTCATTTTAACAACAGACGAGCGACAAAGCAGTATCAACAGAGTATATTTTAGAAGTTAAAGATATTCAAGACGGTCCCTAAATATTGTATTGTCTTATTAGGTTGATTGTTTTTGGTTATGGACATTTAAAGCATAAAAAAATTATAGAAAGGTCTGATGTTCCTTTCGTTCATATGTCATAAAACGTGCGTATTTTGGCCAATGTTGCCGGAGAAAGAAAGGACACTCTGTGGTGTGTCATCACTTTTTTCTTTCTACGTCAAGAGGAAACCTTATCCGTTAGAAAATGAAAAAATGATTTTGTCACATAGTTGTCAATAAAAAGCGTTTCGAACGCCCGTAAAATTGCAATTTGGTTCCAGAAATAACTTCTTAATATTGTACTTTTATAATCTAGAAGTAATTATATAATAAGGCAGGCGTAAGGATTCAAATAATTCTCGGTGTTTTACTCCTGTTTTTTCGACCTATTATATTTAGTTACTCTTTTCTAGTAACTCTTTACTCTTTTGTAGTATAATTGTTATATTTCGAACGTCTCAAAGCCTTTTAAATATTAGACGGACACAAGTAGTCACATCTGCTTGAAGATTAGTATTTCTACTGGCCACAAAAACCTGCCCACATCGATCAGCAAAATATTGATTTTTATGGAGTCCACAAACCCTGACCTCTCACCCTTACTGTTGGCACACCTACGTCAGGAGTCTATTTTGGTCGACTGTTATTTGCAGCCACTAAGAGAGCGGCGACTAAGAACGGGACATGTAATAAAGCAATAAACACTTCTTGTAATGCCATGTTACTACTGTCAAACTTTTGTTGTTATATGTGAGGGTTCTGCTCATCTTCAGTATATTACTCCTGTTTAGTACTCCTTTCTAGTATTGAATTTTTAAAGTATCTCTAAAGCACTTAAGCCAGATACTATAGTGTATGTAAGCACATGTTGTGCCTGCTAGATATAAAGGTACACATAAGTGCTGGTCAGATTCTTGTAAACGTTTTTACTTCTGCTTGAAGATTAATATTTCTACGGTCACAAAAACGCTGCCCACATCAATGAGTAAAATATTGATTTTTGTACCGTCCCAACAAACCCTGACCTCTCACCCTTACTGTTGGCACACCTACATCAGGTCTATTTTGGTCGACTGTTATTTGCAGCCACTAAGAGAGCGGCGACTAAGAACGAAGTTATGCATTTAGCTCTGTTTAAGCTCACTCAGTTTTTCAGCACCTCTTGGCAGAGAGACCCTAAAAACATAGTGGGGTCGTGTGGCGTAGCGGCAGAGTGCGCGACTCGGAGTCCCGGGTTCGAGTCCTGACATGCCACCGATCTTGTGCCCTTGGGAAAGGCACTTTATACGACTTTCCTCACTTAGCTCAGGTGTAAATGAGTATTGTCCTGTCATGCATTTGTCCCCTGTGTTGGTGGCGGCATTAATATATAGTGTGTCGTCACCACGTGTGGTGATTACATGTTGGAATAAAAAAACAACAACACCCGTGCAATTCTAGGTACCAAGTTATGTACCGGTTATGTACAGGTATGAATCCGTTCAAAAGTCAGGAAAGAGGCCAAGAATATGATCTTTGAAGCGCTTTATTTTCTGCAATTTTAAATCAAATCAGAATCAGGAGAAAGCTTGTTGGCGGACACGCCTGTCAGCCTTTGGCTGTTTGTTGCACGCATGACGTTTGGCCGTGACGTCACACAGCCTTGCAGGAGAAGGACGCCACGCCCTCCTCGGTGCAGTACATGCCGTCCGGACAGGAGGCGCTGCTGCACTGGTAGGCGGTCATCCTGTTGGTGACGTGATCAGGATCTGGAGATGAATGTTAAACATAAGAAATTTCGCAACTAGTCTTTTATTCGTTGAAATATAATAATGAACTATATAGACACACTGTATGATCATCTCACCATCTCACCTGAAATCGGCCAGTACACTTTTACGTTTCAAACAAATACTAGTATACAAACAAGACTGACTGACTGCCAATTGTACATTGATATGCAAATTTTTTTTATTTCACTTATTATTTATTCTGATTTCTGTATGATTGATTTGATATTACTTGATGTATGCCTAGTTTGGACCGCTTATTCTTCTGTTACTTAAGTTTGTGCTTAAGTTACCTTATTTTAATTTGCTCCTTGATCGTACATAAGTTTTCTTCAGTGATTACTTTATGTTGTATTATATTGTTATTATTTTATTGTGTTCGGGGATTGCCCCCAGGGTGCATTGAAAACCACCCTCCAGGGCGATATGTTCTCTGGTTAAATAAACAATAAACAAACAATCTCCTAAGCCTTACTAAAGAACACTAACCTACTCATTTAATCATCATCATCAATCGTCTATTAGTAAGTAGAAGTCTTGAATGTCAGGTACTTTAACACTGAAAACTAAATGCCAGAATATTTCCATTTAGTCAGCATTGATTAGATATAGCATCACTTCTAAATGTTGTAAACAAGATGCTTAAAGCAGTTTGGGAACATCATGGTGAAAACATTTACTCACGAACGCATTGGAAGTAGAACGTGAAGTCCTGACAATCCCAGCCGTGTGGACAATGGGCTTGGGAGCACCAGTCCAAGTCTAAGTAAAATGAATCAGAGTAGGGAAAGCTAGGATATGTGTTGTAGATAAATTTGAATAATCGACAAAAAATGGATTTGCTTGCTAAAGTGTGTAAGAAAAATTAGAATATCACCCCTACCAGATTCGCAGTGGTCTCCATGGAACCCGGTTGGGCAGCTGCAGCTGTAGGAGTTGATGCCGTCCTGGCAGGTTCCGCCATTTTGGCACGGATTGGAGGCGCACTCGTCGATGTCTAGATCTATTTGATCTATTTGAATATCCGGTTTTCATCGATCGAATCGTGGCTTCGTACATCAATTTACAATTTTATTAAAACATTACGTGTACATTTTAGGAACGCAACCGGCTAACATTTGCAAGGAAATAATTTTCATCATGTCTTAAATGTTTTATTGTATTGCACAAAACTAAGTGGACCCTTTATGTGCGTTTTGGCATTCAACAACAAAAAGGCACCCAACTTAAGGTCTACTCTGTCTGTCATGTAAAAACACATTTAGATTGAATCCTTACCTGCACACAGGGCGTACATGTTGTTGTAGTTCGCTCCCATCAGGCTCCAGGTGTGAGTCTCGTAGTCCACTCCGATGGCGCTGTCACCACCCCCAATCCAGCCAGGCATGTACACAAAGATGTCATCAAGGGGCTGGCAGTACCGAGAGTCAGTAGTTCCACACAGGTTTTCCGAGAGGATGTAATGCCACGCACAGCTGCCGCCGCCGTAGTCATACGTGATGCAGTCTGATGTCCAGTAGTTGCTGGTACACCCTTCCGTACCTGAGTGGTAGCACGGTAATCTCATCCCCATCGACTCGCAAGTGGCCTTGACATTCAGGTTAGTCATAGCTCCAACCGCGCGAACTTTGAAAAAGGACCATCCGTCGACAGAGGTCAGGTACTCTGGTTGACCTTAGAGGCGAGAACTTCGTTATTTTCATTTCCCGGACATTTTATGATAGCTGCCAGCGATTAACTATGAAAAAGAGCAACACCTGATTTTGTTTTGTTTTGTTATATTCCAACACTAGACATGATGACTAGACATGGTGACAGCACACTCAAGTTATATCAACTTATTTTATGCCGCCACCAACGCAGAGGACGAATACCGGACAAGACAATACACGGGAATGTCGTGTAAAGTGCCTTTCCCAAGGACACAAGATCGGTGACATGTCAGGACTCGAACCTGGGACCTCTTGGTTCCGAGTCGAGCACGCTGCCGCTGTGCCACACGACCCCACAGCAACACTTGTTTTATGGCTGAGAATAAAAATTACATCAGGCTGGTAATTCACTGGGAACAGCGTGCAAAAAAAAATCACAACCAAGAGTTAATGATCGACGGACTTTCTGCCACGGGATCCCAGTACGCCATGTTGATTTGATCAGGCCCGTTCTTAACGTATCTTGGAAACTCACTGTCAAAGTCAAGAACTTTCTTTCTACCATTTAATCACAGCTATAGCGTAACTCCAAAATCAATGACACGAGGTACGTAAGATCATGCACATAATTAGAAAACGCGTATATGAATAAAGGGGCCTTCACGCTGTAAAAAAGCTTCGGACGTATTTCATCCCAAACCTGATATAGCGGTGACGGGCCACAAATAAAGTAATTATTTCAGTTACTACCTAAATGCAAACTGAGGCATAGAAAGTCTATATTCACCTTGTGACGAGTCCGGCCAGACGACCACAGCCGCGATGAAGACCAGAAACTTCCACATGTTCACCATATGCTGAGTTGAGTCCAGACTCCGTGATGTGTGTGAGGCTTGTTCTGTGTGCGGTAATTTATACCGTGTCCCAAACTAGGCCATGGGAACCACACACCTGGCCGGCAGGGACGGGCGATATTAATAGTTCTGCAGAGGAAATGTCTTCATCCATACGCGTCTGATTGGTGCGAACTAAAGTAAGAGATAAGAAGTAACTATCTACGTAACCGCAAAGTAACTATCACCTAGTTATCTACGCAAACTAGCCTATACCAGGCTTCGGCAGGCGGCTGGAACGAGTAGAAATCGGCCAAATAGAGAGATACTCGTAACATACCAAAGGAGTTTGGTCGGCTGGAGAGAACAGTTTGCCGCTCCCGACTACGCACAGGCTTCGGTGCGGCAAACTGTTTTCTCCAGCCGACCAAACTCCCTTGGCATGCTATCTCTCTACTTGGCCGTTTTCTACTCTTTCCAGCCGCCTCCCGACGCCAGGTACCGTAGAGGCTATACGCAAACGTTTCTACAAATTTTCTGCTTGTGCAACTCTCACACAACAGATGCCTAGCCTACACGTGACGACTAAGAAACACTTTCGGGACACATCAACAAACCAAGACTACAACCTGATGTCGGCCATCAGTCGGGCCACATTCTCCGTATGTATCCCTCCCGACTTATCAGACTTATCACTTATATCCCGACTCAACCCCTGAAAGCCTACTTGCACAGAGACGACGACCCGCCTGATGGTAGTCTCCATAGCATGCCAAAAACTGGGGGGTTTGGGGGGGTCTTCAGGGTCTTTTATGTGCTATTTTCTGATTGCATGTAGACAAAATAGCCGGCCTGGTTGAATTACGAACTGAGCTAATCAGAAAACAGCCTACATGTAAGACCACCAAACCCCCAGTTCTATAAGCCTGCTACAGAGGCTACCTGATGGATCCCTGCTGATGGAATGTGAACACTTGCCGTTTGAACAGTTAGCTGGCCCGGAATCCGTCCATATACGCGCTACTGTCAGTTCTACGAGTCATCGTCCCCCCCCCCCGTATATATTTATAGGTGACTCCTAGAACCTAGCCTCTACCAGGCTTTAGGAGTTTGCGGCAAACTGTACTCTCTAGCGGACCAACTCCCTTGGACTCTAGAACTAAGCAGGTCTTTCGGTTGGGTGGCAAAAGACCGTATCCATTGGCCGTCCTGTGTCCATTGGCCGTCCTGTATCCATTGGCCATCCTGTATCGGAGGCTAATGGACACTCCTCTGGCCAATGGATACTGTCTTGCCACCGAAAGATCTGCTTGGAGATTATCTGGAACGTCTGTCGGTAAGTGGTTTATTAACTTTTTAAAGTTAACTGGAAAAGTAATATTTGCAAAGCAAATGCATAATGTTTACCTTCGGATATGGTCTGCTTTGTTAATTCTTACTCATTGACAAATACATTAAACACATTCACATACATGTATATGGTGACAGGAGTCTAAATGCCTACTATGAAATTGCCACATTGTGTAACCCGACACCAGTTACTATGGTGACAGACATAAACAAAAGAGGCCATTGGCCAGGTCAGAGGTTAGTGTTTGGAACAGAAGAAGAAATGGAGCAAAAACAATATGTTTTCCTTCGGTAAACATAATAAGTTATCTTCTTTGCAGGCCCATTCTAAACGTATCACTGGAACCGAAAATAAACATGCCTCACTGATAGCATAAAGTGCCACTAAGGGATGTATGTCTTTATGACGGTAGTGTTTGCTGAATCTTGTGGGACCGTTTTTTTGTCTCTCTCACATATTTACAGGAATAACAGGACTAGTGTAGTAAGTGCAACCCATTTCAAACATTTTCTCTCTCTCTGACTTGTCTAAATAAAAACAAGGTGACAAGGAGTTTTCACAATATTTATTGTTTTGTGAAACAAAGTCTGCCAGTGGATACACAGACTTACCATTCCAAGGGCCATTCTATACAATGCTGACAATGTTGTACTGTGAATTAACTGTCATCCTCATTTAGTACACCATTTTATCTTTAATATGATGACTACAGACTGGGGTATGCCAGGACAAATGTATATGTATGGACACAATGAAAGCTGCAGTTTTTCAAGAGACTGTTCTTGTCCAAATGTGTTAAAACAAGGAGAAATATTTTTCAGGGTTCCTTAGGGTTTGACATCAAAGATTGCAAGTAGTCTATCTTTATATGCAAGATAAACACAAAAAGAAATCTGCACTTATTCAGGAGAGGCACAAAAAGAGAGTCGCAGTTTTTCAGGAGACTACTCTTGTGTTTGACGCAAAAGAACCCATCAAACATGTATTCCATCTTTAAATGGAGCTATCTTTCATTGAACACAAAAAGGAATCTGCATTTTTTCTTCAGGAGACTGTTTTCGCGGGTTCTACATCGTCCACTGCCTCTTCGTACCATCTGTGGATGCGGTGTCGGCGGAGAACAGAGATGGCCCCAGCCTCCAGACTAGTGGGAGTGACGCCCAGATCCTCCAGACCTGGTAAACCTGGGGTGGTCTGGTCTGTGTGATGATCCTGGAGAGAAAAGGAAAGTGATCTCAATCCAGTTTTAGCTCACTGAAGAGCTAATCCCTAACTGGTTGTCACAAAGAAGACAGACACTATGTGCAGTATTTACAGATTCAAATCCCCCTGGCTCTTTTCTGGCAACACTCAAGTGTGTTTCTTTTAAATGCACTTTTAAGATGTACATGTACAAAATTGCAATAAACTCCATCATAGTCATACCAGTGCATAACCAAGCTTTTTTAGTTCTAATTTTTCTAGGACTTTGACTTAATTGAGATTGCTACAAGACAACAAGTATCACTAGTAATTGTGTTTTAGGAACCAAGACGTTGCCAAGCCACAGAAATGACGTTTGTTAATGTAAAAATATGTACCCTGATGACCTGGTCCCTGGTCATGAAGGGGGTCCACTTCAGCTCACCAAGTCTAGCCGCAAGCCTGGAAACACAAACAAACAAACAAACAAACATTGGCAATCAGTAACAGAATCACTTAACTCAAGGACAATGCAGTGGTATGTGCATAGCTGGGATACTGGAAATTTTCTAAAATGTTCGTGGTTTACTTTTAGGGTTTTTGCAGTGACCTGACACCCCAAATACAGATTTTCAATGTATTTCCAACTATCAACAGTTGTATTGTATAAATGCTTACTTTTTAAATCATATGACGTGCAAAAGTTTATGTTGTGTATTTGTATGTTATAAATAATAAAATACAATGCCAGTTTTCTTTGTATATGGGCCACTAGCCTGATACAAAGAATAAAATGCAAGTAAAGATGAAATTTCACAAGAGTTGTTTCAACCAGACCAGATTCCTGTGGAAAGAAAAAGTCTTTCCATACTCACATGTACAGAACTTCATACTCACATGTACAGGAACTTTGGGTAAGGGTAGATGACGGGAGTTCGGTGCATGACTCGGTAGATATACTCCACCATATCATACAGGTAGTATCTGTTGGGGCTGGACAAGACATGGGAAAAGACAAGATTAAAGGTGCTAATACGCCCAAAATTAGTAGTTAAAGCAACAGTTACTGGATATGATTTTGGAAACGGTCAGACATTTAAGGTATCATCCACTACCTTTTATCAGTGTCCCTTTTTGATGTAACTTATTACCTGGATGTCTAACCTTCATCGACATATAAATGTGCTAATGTTTCAGAATACAAACGGTGGTGCAACAACGACAGGACCAATATGACCTTACCGCACACAATTATAGATGACTATTCTCTGTCATTCTCTCTAACAACAAAATTTAACAACACTTCCAATAATTTGGGGTTTTGTTATACACCTTCAAATCCTTTCTTTACATAAAAAGAAAAAAAAAAGCTAACATATCCAAGAAGATGTCTTTACCTTTGTTTCAAGCATTGGTTTAATTTGGACTCGGTTTGAGTTTTTTTGTACCTCTTAAACCTTTCCTCCCTGCTGCAGAAACCCATAACCAGTACAGATTTCATGCCAAATGGCTACATGTACTTCGGGAGGCTGAAGTTGAGAAATAAACTTCTAACGTACCCAACGAGCTCAAAAGTCTTCCCCTTTGTGTCTCGTTCCTTGGCTGCATTGATAATCGCAGTGGCTACGTCTCCTACCTACACAGGGACATGTCAGGAAAAAAACGTTCATTTCTGTATTGTGGCTACCATCTCTGCTTCTAGACCAGTGTATTGGTAATATTTTGCGTCCTGGTTTGTTATCTTTGCATGCCAGTATATTAGTGTAATATATATTATTTAATATATATATGTTATATAAAGTGTAAAGTCCTTAGAACAGGAGTTTCTTAATAGCGTTTAGTCAACTTGTAGTAATCCATAGTTACAGAGTTCAAGTTTGTTCCAACACAAAGAAATAACTCACCATAACAAGCTTGAACTCTATAACTATGGATTCTACCAATACAGATGAGCTTTCATTCAAATTGTAGTAATCCTGTTGATTCATACAGTGTCTTACACAGCTTGTACCTAAAGTACAAAACAGGTGTGTTACACCTAAAGGCAGCTTATAATTACAGGCTATGTGAAACAGAACAACTCACATAGACCGGCTGGCGTATGGTGTTCTTGCCCCAGCCGATCAGAGGTACTCCTCCAAATGTACGCAGATCTGTCAGGGGGAAACAATTATCACGCATTCAGTCAACTTTACTTGCAACTCAGAAATACCTTTAGTATAATTCTAACTTAAAAATCAGGCTAACAAATCCCTATCTTGACTGGGATGATACTGTATGATGACAATGAATTAAATGTATCAGCCACTGTACTTTCTGCTAAATACTAAAAAAAACACACCCTACCCTACCAGATGCTGGAGAATGCATGCTTATCTAATAATCTAACACATATTCTACGAAAAGAAATGCTAGAATGCATCCTTAATACTGGATTAGTAGTTAATGGGCAAGAAGAAATGTATACGAATGCGTGTGTTCTACCAGAGGAAAAGGTACGAAAAATGTGTGCTTATTGGTGTAGTAGTTGAGGAACAAGAAGAGATGTGAAAATGCGTGCTCACTTCACACATTCTACCAGAATAGAAGTAAGAAAGCGTACTTACTGGCGTACTAGTTGAGGAACTAGAAGAGAGATAAGAATGCATGCTTTACTTCACAGAAATTCTACCAGAATAGAAGTATGAATGTGTGCTTACTGGCGTAGTAGTTGAGGAACCTGTCTTCCCTGCCGAACATCTGTGCAGGCCGCAGGATGGTCACGTCTGGGAAAACCTCCTTCACTGCCTGCTCTCCTTCAAACTTACAGGAAGAGAAGGTTCTTAGATTTAGAAGGTATTGTCTTAAATGTGTTTAATCATGTTTTACTATATAGGAAGAACTTTTTTTGCACAACAATTGTACATGGTACAATCATACTATAATGTATGACAAGGACTATTGAACATACTACCAAAAGGAAAGTTACTAAAAATTTGGAAATGTTCGAATGTTGTGCCCGTGCACAAGAAAGGAGACAAGCAGATCAAGGAAAACTACAGACCCATATCCCTCCTATGTTGTGTGTCAAAGGTCTTTGAAAGAATAGTCCATAATCAACTGTCCTCATACTTCCACAGGAACAAGCTTCTCACTGACCGTAATGCCGGGTTCGCCTTGGGAGATTCCACCGTTAATTCATTGACCTATTTAGTCCACAAAATTCATCAAGCACTTGACCAAGGCCTCGAAACCCGTGCAGTTTTTCTTGACATATCTAAAGCTTTTGATAAGGTTTGGCATGGGGGATTAATCTTTAAGCTGCGACAACTAGGAGTTACTGGGTCTCTCTTATTATGGATTGAATCCTACCTGAGCGATCGTAAACAGCGAGTTGTTATAAACGGGATGTGCTCTGAATGGCTATCAATTGATGCAGGTGTTCCACAAGGGTCACTTCTCGGCCCATTGCTCTTTCTTGTATTTATAAATGACCTTGTTGACAACCTACGAACAGATTCCCGTCTTTTTGCTGATGACACCGCACTGTTAGAGATAATCATGGATCCCGTTGTCTCAGCGAACAGACTGAATCATGATCTCAGTGTAGTGTCAGACTGGTCAGACCAGTGGCTTGTAACATTCAATCCCGGCAAAACAGAACTGATGACTTTTTCCTCTAAAAGAAGAAAGGTTCTTCACCCACCACTATACTTTAGAGGTGTTCAGCTGACTGAAACTCCCTCTCACCAGCACCTTGGCTTACATCTCACTCCAAATTTATCATGGTCACTCCACGTGTCAACTCTGGTGACGAAAGCAATGAAGCGAGTTAACTTGTTAACAAGAGTATCAAATTTTGTGCCACGGAAAACGCTTGAAATCTTGTACAAAGCCATGATACGTCCTTTACTTGAGTACGCCAATGTTGCCTGGTGTGGTGTTCTTATGAAGGATTCAGACCTCCTTGAGTCAGTCCAGGTGTCCGCTGCCCGGGCTTGCACAGGCGCAATGAGAGGTACGAATCACCACCGCATTCTATGTGACGTCGGTTGGGAAACACTTGCCAACAGACGCGAAAAGTTCAAACTTGTTCACTTTTATAAAATGGCCAATGGCTTAGTTCCCAAATATCTACAAGACTTGGTTCCCCCACTTATCCGTGATTCCACCCCTTATGGCCTGCGTACTGACCAGAATTATCTCCCTTTTACCCTCAAAACTGAAAAGTACAAAAAATCTTTCTTGCCTTCTGCTGTTTTCTCTTGGAACAAGTTACCCCAGACCGCCAAAGAATCCCCATCCATTCGTGCATTCAAAAATGAATTAGAGTCTTGCTTTGATAGCATGCCCAGACATCCTCACTACTCTCACGGCCACGGACACCATGTGACTCACCTTACCAGACTCAGGCTTGGTTTCAGCCAGCTGAACTACCACCTATTCCAGCATCACTGTATCAGTAGTCCCGAGTGCAAATGTGGGCATCCGAATGAGACACCAGAACACTATTTATTACACTGCACATGTTATAATACTGAAAGGACCAAAATGTTGTTATCCATATCTTGCCTTCATCTTGAAAACATACTTCTTTCCGACCCACTCAATGCAAACGACGCCACATTATGTACTCTACTTCTTACAGGTAGCCCCTCCCTCCCATACCCTACCAACTGCCGTATCTTTGATATTGTGTTTAACTATATCCACCACTCTGGAAGATTTGACCAATCTCAATAATGTTATGCTAGGTATTGGTGCGCCAGCCACTTTCATTTTATGTTAATGCTATACTTTATGTCATCTTTATGTTTACATTTGTATTATGTTTTATGAGCAGCGGATTTACATAAGCACAACAAGTGCTTCCTATCCAATGCTCAAAAATCCATGTGAATAAAATAAATAAAAGTTACTAAAACATCAAGTGCTAGTATGTGAGTTAGTGTGAGTGATTGTTATACATATACACACACACGTGTTCATGTATGCACAAATTACACAAAAGAAAGTCCACTTTTTGAGTGTACAATTAGAGATCTGTAGAGACCTTACTAGTGTAGTTGATCAGAAATACTGTATCCTTTCAAATATTACACCCAATATGAACTGTAGTGTAACTGTATGAGGAGTCATAACCTAGGACTGTATCTGACAGTTTTCCTAGGCTTAATTCTCCATCACTTGCCAGGTTCAGTTCTGATACAGACAGAATCTCCCCAGAACTGAACCACTGCAGGTTCCAAGCACTCCAGACAAGGCAGGAGTACTACAGGGCACTGCACGGCGGTTTCTCTAGCACTTAGTGTAGGTAGGTGAACCATGGGTGGGTCAGGTGACACTCAGCAGCCAATCAGGTGCCGAGGAGTCACGTGACCCGTGACCAATGGGGTCAAGGTACCACACCTCTGTTCAAGTGCATCAGTTTTCCTTTGAAAGTTGATGTGTACAATCACATAGATCTATCATGGAAGTTAATTTTTTCTCAAGTTGTGGGGCCGTTTCTATTGCATTAAATCTATTTGTATCACTACTGTACTTCTACATATTAACAAGCAACTGACTACTGACAATGTAGACTTGTCATACTCTTTGTGAGTGGCTGTCAACACATGACAATATCAACCACAAACTTACAACAGAACAAAGATCTCCATTCGCTCCCCCCCCCAACACACACACAGCTGCAAAATGAACTCCCAAGTTCCAATAAAATTCTGCAAATCACTTTTTATTTGTGGTACCAAAATTTCGAAGTCTGAGAAAATTGGACATGTTTGCAGTACTTTATGTTATTGGTGGCTGCAGGTGCAGAAAGAAAGTTGGCAAATTATTTGTTCGCGGTAAATTGCGACAGCGAAAACAGTGAATAGAATAGTACCACAAATATAAGTGATTTACAGTACTACCTGAAAGTCCAGTGACCTTACCTTTGTCCTGTACAGTTTAGACTCGCTGTTTGGGTCTGCATTAAGCGACGACACGTGGATCAGTCTCTCCACTCCCTCCTCCTGACACAGCTGGCCGATCATACGCGCAAAGTCAACGTTTACCTCCTCAAACTTGAAGTTTCTGTGAGGGGAGAGAAAGTGTGTTTGTCACTGAAAAAGTTTTTAAAAACTTAAAATGTGTTCATAGTCCATACAATGTGTTTGTCAATGAAAATTTATAAAAAAATTAAAATGTGTCACAATAGAAAAGTTAGTTCAATCTGAATGATTTACTTTTGCAGAAACAGATTCTGAAGCATTTTGAGTTGGAAATATCAGTGTCAGGAGGAAGATATGACAAGATGGTTTATAGAGCAGAGAACTGTTAAAAGTAAGATACGAGTAACAAACTGGCCATCCATCTACAAAAGGTCTATCTTCATAGATACAATCAATAGGAGCGACCGGCTAGGGGCTAAAATAGGATGAATGCTAGACTATTCCCAATCCTAGAGCTAACCCAGGTTGGGGACAGTGTTTGGGAGCAGAGTCATTGGAAGGTCCTGAATGAGTGACAGGGGCTGAAGATAACTGACCTGGACTCATAGTCCCTGCCGATGAGATTGATGACTACATTAGAATGTTGCAGCATCTTCCTGTACGATTCAGGGTCTCTCTCGTCCAGCTCCTGTGTAGAAAAAAAACACCATGTGTGGTACAGTTTCACCTTACAGAAACAGTCACTGGTTGAAGAACATTCTACTAACTGTAATCTTATGTGACTGATGAACCTCTTCAATGTTGTACAGTTTATTTTCCAGTGTCAGACAATGCAAATGTTCGCTTTCTACTTAATTCTAGTTAGGTAATGCTGACTTGAGTCTAAAGGTTTTGGTCTTGAATATCACAACTTTACATATTAAATCAAAGCACCACTAAAACCTAGTCTGTAGCAAGCCAGATGTTGTGCCTTTGGGAAAGGTACATGTATCTAATAAATCAGATGAAAACTAGTATATAAACCTACCTAGCTTTAGACAGCTAAGGTCAACTTTCTTAGTCATCACAGTTACAAAGAAACAGAGAGTGAAAATGCAGCCTCCTTTTGCAAAAGAATATGTAAAGATAAAACTAGGATTGGAAACTCACAGAGAAGACGATCTGGCCCAGGTCTCCCATAGGTCTCATGTACAGAGTCTTGTACCAGTCACATCTGTGTGGAACCACGATCTGACTGCCATCCCGACCTGCAGGGACAATCAGGCAAAATGTATAACACAATCAGTCTGGCTGCAGTACCATAACAAGCTTCCAGAGGACCCAAAATCTAATCAATTTTGGGATCTCATGAAGACCCACCTACTAAATATCAGGAATAGGTAAAACATGGAGGTAAATCTAAATATCTGTACTTTTAATGAAATTGTGCAGGAGCCCTGGAAGATTGGCTTTAATTAAAGGGCCTAAAGAGCATCTTAACACTAGTAAACTGAAACTCTGTAGAGTGAAAACTTTTATTACCCACTCTAACCTACCACTCACTGGATGTGATGTCATGGCGATTGCTTATATTGTATTTGTACAAAGAGTTAATGTCTAAAAATATCTATCTAATGAATATGCCAAAAGAGTAACCTAATTCCCGTTACGTACCAAGCTTGTTGATGACGTATCGTCCCAGGAAGCCGGTGCCTCCGAACACAGTCGCACAGATACCGCTGAAGGACGAGCGCCCTCCCCTCCCCCGCGGCACGTGGGCACCGGTCGGGATCACGTTATTGTGGACACCCCGGCTATGCAGGACTGCCACCCCGGCTACAGGGCTCAGCTGGTGGCCTGTAAACAACAGGTAAACAACAACAGGTAAACAACAACATGTAAATAATAACAAGTAACAAATGTTTTTTATGTTGTTATATGTGTATCTGTTATTGTGGACACCGCAGCTGTGCAGGACTGACACCCCTGCTACGGGGCTCAGCTGGTGGCCTGTAAACAACAACATGTCAACAACAACAGGTAAACAACAACATGTCACGTCAACAACAACAGGTGTTTGTGTTGTCAGTCGAGTAGTATTGTCATCTATTTTTGTGGGGACTTAATTTTGCAGTAGATGGAAAAAGGAGGTTTTCACAGTGTCTTATTCGCAAAAACAATTTTATAGCACAGTAGTAGTAATACAATTGAAAAAGCATAAATATATTTGCGGTGTCATGGTAAAATGGTGACTGCAAAACCATGAGAACAGAGCACAGTCAACATCTGCAGTATGTGTATCTTGCAAAGTCTGTAAGTTAAGTTGTAACTTACTTGTAAGCACCATATTTTTCAAAATTCAGGCTGCAAAGAACATTACCAATCATTTAACATCTCATTGCACTCAGATTTTAAGTTCTGAAATCTTAATAGAATCTGACGACATCTCAAATGTCCAGGACCCCCTTCCCCTTGCTCCCTGACCCCCTCCCCCTCCTCAGCTGTTGCCCTTCCCAGTGAAGGGCACCGAGGATCGCGTTGTTTTGGGCGGCGTCACCGAGTTTTGGGGACTCAAAAGTAGTTGACACTGCACGCATATCTTTCAGTACGGTATGTAAATTCGTAATCTAGCTACCAACGTACTCCTTTAGCCACAAAACGGACGATATTTACCTGCCAATCCGGCACTTCTGACCACCAGAATGGCTGCCATTTTCTTCTTTCGGCCTGAAGTCAAACTCTCGTGAATTCTCGCGAGAATCGTGATTTCAGAAAAAAATTCAAAAAGAATTTTAATCCCTATAAGAATACCAGAAATAATCTATGATGTTACTATTTGTCAAAAGTTATACACACATGATAAACTATATTAAAAAATTCTTTTGAAAATTTTGTTCTTATGTCGAAGTATAACCTTTGACCCCAACGTCACTGACATGCCCGGCAAGAAAAGTCTCGAAATTTTACTTTCAGATTTTCTCACAAAATTGCGGATTGTATTATAATATATTTTCGCACATATTACAAAGTTGAGTGCCGGAAGAACCCTACTCCAGGAGAGCGTGTTAACGGGACATAGAAAGGGGCTATTTTCCCAGAAAAGGTTGGATTTTGTCTTTGTTTTCACTTCCATGTGTGGCGTGGGGAGGGGGGCAGAATGCTTTTGCCGTAAAAAAAAATGCTTCTTGGCCTTTACCTTGGTCATGAAAAAGGAAGGGACTTTCTGCGGACCTTTCCCCTAAACATGTTAGTGTAAAGCTGCATTTTTCTGTAATAGTATTCATGTTAATGACAAAAATTACATTTTTGTTTATATTAATCAGGTATTATGCTATTATGTAAGTAATGCCATTGATTTTTTTTCAGTTTTGAATTCAAACTTCTTATGAAGTTATTAATAAAAAAAAAACTCTGTTAAGATAGTGTTATACTAATTCAATTGTTTTTACATACGTACACCACAGTTTTCTTCCCTCGGAAAGGACAGCTTCTGATTGGTCGCCATGTCGTACATGTTGCCACATCTGACCAATGGCTGGCAGGTGGACCAGGCCATTCTGTCGGAGGAGGACAGGGTTGTTGTGATCAGGTTCGGCCACGACTGGGACCCCACCTCTATGAAAATGGATGAGACCTTATATTCCATCGCAGACAAGGTGTGGCAACCCATATTCTTTTATAACAAATTTATCAATCATCTACTACTAAATGTACATATTACGTGTACTAGAATATGTACTAAGGTCTGTTGTACTTAATCCATAGTTAATGTAGGGCACTGCAGCGCGTATGTATGCTGCTTGTGCTCAATTTATATTACATTGTGCCAATTTAAATGAATTAAATTATATAACAGAAAGGACAATGGATATACTAGTAGTAGTATATTCTTTCTAGTAGGATGGCTGAAGAAAAAAAGGAAAACTTGATAGTCTGTCATGGATAGAGTCGTGGGTGAACAAAGAAAAAAAGGAGCAGGAAAACCTACTTAGGTTGCCACGAGATTCAAAACAATGACAGAATTCGTAAATCAGGCAGTTGCCAAGGCGCAAAACAAATCAAGTATGATTGCGAGTCTCAGTGACTTTACTTTCATTGTATCAGTCATAAACTCTCTTAAAAGGAAAGTGTGAGTGTATGTAACAAATGTGTTGTCTTTTCTTTAAAGATCAAGAACTTCGCAGTGATCTACCTTGTGGACATCTCGGAGGTTCCAGACTTCTGTAAGATGTACGAACTGTACGACCCGTGCACAGTCATGTTCTTCTACAGAAACAAACACATCATGATCGACTTGGGAACAGGAAACAACAACAAGATCAACTGGGCCATCGAGGACAAACAGGAGATGGTGGACATTATAGAGGTGGTCTACAGGGGAGCTAGGAAGGGCAGAGGTCTCGTGGTGTCACCTAAGGACTACTCAACCAAGTACAGATACTAGAAATCACACACAGGAGATGGTGGACATTATTATAGAGGTGGTCTACAGGGGAGCTAGGAAGGGTAGAGGTCTCGTGGTGTCACCTAAGGACTACTCAACGAAGTATAGATACTAGAAAACATCAAACAATGGTCTCTGTTATGTCAACCCAAGGACTACTCAACCAAGTACAGATACTAGAATTTCTGAGTAAAAATCTTACACAGATCACCCAAGGACTACTCTACCAAGTACAGATACTAGAATTTCTGAGTAGGAATCTTACACAGATCACAAGGACTACTCAACCAAGTACTGATACTAGATATTACATGCAGGTCAACCAAGAACAACTGAACCAAATACAGATACTAAAATTCACATCCAAAATACTTCGAAGATCACTCCATCAAATACAGATCATGCAAAATTTTACCTGTGCTCTAGATATTTGTTCCAACATCAACTATACCTGATGGAAACAGTACACAAGGTCCTGTAGCAGTTAGTGTAGTAGGCTGCTATCTTTTTATTTCCCCATTTTAGTAGATTGATTTTCGACGACTGGGTGGTTCAAAGCACCATCACAGTGTACTCACTACTGCACAGTCAGTGAAGATTGTTGTGTTTCATTTTGAAACATAGCTGGAAATCTGAGAAGGGCACTTTTTAAAAATGCTATGGCCACTTGATGTATCTATTATGGCTTAAATTTAAAAGACAGGACCACAATGTACACAGTAGTCTGCACAAGTAATGACATGAAAGTGTTAAGCACTAGGTGAATTTTTAATGTGTAAGTTGACATATTTCTGAACAGATGTTAAATACAGTTTAAGTTAGCAATAGTGATATGGCGATGTGTCTTTAAAGTATAATTTAGTTGTAATTGTTTTCACGTATTAGTAAATATCTACTTGTTATCAGGTTTTGTACCATTGTCTCATTCATAATGTCCATGAGTCATCAGCTCAAAACTGTACATAATCCTACATACAAATGGGCATTGTAGGAACATACTTGTAACCACTAAAATCCATCTACAAATCTTGAATGTATTACACAGTTCTTTACTAAACATCCAACCACTCCAAATCACAACTTCTATCAGTAATGGCCTTACAAATGTTTTGTTTCAACTTGGTAATTTCTTTCCAGCATCTACACTTATGGTGGTCATCTAGTATTTTGACATTGTATAGCAGTGCATAAATCATGATTCATAGATTAATGATAATATTTACACATGTACTATTTTCTTAATTAAGAATGTTATTACTTGAGTTGACAAATGACATAACTCCTCTCTGTCTCAAATTTTTAAGCAAACCTAACTTTCTTAGCAATGTTTGTCACATTCATGATACACATACTCTTTACAGTACAATCATTGAGTACATGTTTGTCTATGTGTGTTTACATAAACTACACTGCTTTGTTGGATGGAGGTGAAGTCAAATGTGTCTTGAAAAAAAAATACACAAAATATGCTGACTGCACAGGAGGCTTATTTCATACAAGGACACACAAGATTAGTCTGCCTTGTTACCATGGTGATGGATGATGTCATGACCTGTTCTGAGCCAAACGGGTGGGCGTTCTGTAGCCTGGGTTCCGTCCTCTGTAGTTTCCGCTGGCTCCCAAATGGGGGCCCGCAAGCCCTTTTTCGTAGAGCGTAATCGGTCGTTTTAATTCTAAGTAGAGCGTAGACGGACCGCTCTAATATTTTTGCGTAGAGCGTATTCGGCATTTTAATTCTACGTAATGCGTCGTAGCCACTTGGAATTTATCGTAAAGCGTAATCGAGAGGTTTCTGAATTCAGCGTAGAGCGTTTTCGAGACCCTCCCCCCCCCCCCTGCAGGCCCTCCCTAATTGGAAACTACGGAGTATGGCAGCCAGGCTATGCAGTCTGTTCATTTAAAAAGAACATAAAGATGACTGCTTTTATCAAATTTTATCGGCATTTTAGTGCAATTTCGAGTTGCCTACTTTAATTAAGAAATTGCAGCACAAAAACTACAACACAGGACTGCTGATTTTTTATAATTGATGGGCACACTTGTCACGTTGACGAATGTCCTCACTTTTAATATTTTTGCACCCTCTGCTAACTGCTGTTTGGGAATGTGACATATTCATGTTCTGTAAACCGGTCATAAGTTTTGTTGTCAGTGTTCGGGAGTGTGACGTATTCATGGTCTGAGATGTCGTCATCAGTTTTATGGTAGCAGAACACAGTTTTTCGCCTATGGGGATTTCTATAGTTAAGGACCCAGAAGTGACTGACATCGACTCGGATAAAAATACAGTAGGGTACCATAGAAAAGCGCGAGAAACGAATATGTTCAAATATAGGGTACGATGTACAAAATAACAAAAAAGTACAAAAAGTTATCGTTTTTTTGACATTATGCCGACCTCTTTTAAATGGCCTCCTGCGGAGCGCACCGGAACTGCAGCCGACTCACCATGGCAGGCAGCGAAAAGGTCACGCGCATTTATACGCCGATCGAGCAGCCTTCCTAATCTCAATTATGCGATATCAAAGCCGACATATTATGGTACCATACGGTAACTTGTATGTCCCGGTGTCATCCACGTTAGGCTGTGTACAAGCGGTGCAAGCTGTTTGTCGCACTCATTTCTTATCCCTACGTCATCGTCTCCGGGGGTCGCGGAGGAATACTGTGTTCTGCTACCTTATTGTCGGTGGGGAAGGTGACGTAGGCATGTTCTGATGTGTCATCAGTTTTGTTGTCGGTGGGGAAGGTGACGTAGGCATGTTCCGGTGTGTCGTCATCAGTTTTCTTGTCAGTGGGAAAGGTGACGTAGTCATGTTCCGGTGTGTCGTCATCAGTTTTGTTGTCGGCGTTTGGGAGCGTGACGTAATCATGTTCTGAGGTGTCATCAGTTTTGTTCTGGTCAGTATTCTGTATATCCAGGTAGTCAGCTGGCTCTGATGGTTCACTGCTTCTCACAACGATGTAGTCACTGACGCTTGTTGTTTCTATTTCAACTCCTGACTGTTCGTCCTCTTGGACACGGATGCCCGAGTCTTCCCGCCTCACATGGCATCCAGTGCGCGAATCGGATTGTGGTTTGTCAGCAGCACATCTTTGCGAAGATTCTGCGAAACGAATGGAACTCCCCTCGTTGTCATAATCCCCCATCGGGTGAGCACGGGATGCCGTGAACGCAACGTTATCGCAGAGTTTAGCACCGGCGGATTCCCTGGCCTTTGGTTCGGCTGCAATAATGCACGATCTAGTCACGTAGTCGCTTTCATTTGTCTGACTGGTGTTTTTGGATCTTGTGGCGATCCCGTTTCTGTTTTGTACTTCATTGTCGTAATGTCCGAATCCTGCTTCAGACGCTTCTGTTGCCACAAAGACAGCCGTGCCTCTGATGTTGTTGGCAGGTTTCTCGTTGTCATAAAACGATATAACTTGAGACGTTGCATGTTGTAAGACCTTAGTGCCCGTGTGACTCCCCACAGACCTTGTTGTGACCCGGCCACTCTCTTGTGTACGGTTGTCATAATGCCTTTCCTCGATATCTTCATGCTGAACGGTGATTTTACACATGGAGGGTCTTAATTTCCTGCGGTTGATGCGTCTTGGCCGAGAAGGCCTTGCTTCATCAGCGTCCCTTGCTCTCTTCTTCTGTCTTGAAGTAATTCTGTCCCGGCCTGAGAGTTCATCGTTGTTGTCATAGATATGTCCGGTTTCTTCGTCGTCAGAGAATTGGTCATCGTTTTCATAAGGTTGTTCCTTGGCTTCTTCATTTGGAAATTGGTCGTCATTTTCATAAGTTGTTCTTCCGAAAGTTTCTTCGTTTGAAAATTGGTCGTCGTTTTCGTAAGGTTGTTTTTTGACTTCTTCATTTGGAAATTGGTCGTCATTTTCATAAGTTGTTCTTCCGAAAGTTTCCTCGTTGGAAAATTGGGCGTCGTTTTCGTAAGGTTTTTGCTCCTCGGCTTCTTCATTTGAAAATTGGTCGTTATTTTCATACGTTTGTCTTCCGAAAGTTTCCTCGTTTGAAAATTGGTTGTCGTTTTCATAGACGACTCTGTTTCCAGGATCTCCCTCGTTGAAGAACTGGTTGTCGTTTTCGTAAGTCCTGGTATCTTCTTCGTTGTTTGGCGTCTGATTGACATCTCTGGTTTGACCGTTCTTCTCGCGTTTTTCCCTTCGCGTTCTCACCTTTCTAACCGCCGTGACGACAACCAAAGTCACACAGACGACGATGACACTCGCCACTACAACGTAGACCGAAGCGCTAACCGGTCTTTCGGCGGACTTTCCAGGAGTTCTTTCCGAGACCAAAACGATGGTCTTATTGTCCGGTGTTGTGGCGTTTGTATCCTGCCCTTCGGTAGGGTTATGAGGTGTTGCCGTAGTGTGTTGTTGAGGGGTTGTCCAATCCTGTAATATGACGTCCTGTTAAAGTTATACTAGTACCGTAATTACATTATGGTTAAAACTAGGTTTTTATCATTCCTGTAATATTTCAGTATTAATTTCTAGCATATTTTTGTTCGCTCCGTTAAATTCTCTTCGTCATTGTCAACTGTTTTGTTCAAGCATCTATAATAGTATTGCGATATCTTTGTTCCGTTAATTTCATTTTCCGTTAAGTTCATTTTTTATCAAGATAGTATCATTTTTATCATTATTATTAGTTTGCAATATCTTTGTTTTCGTTAAGTTCGTTTGTTATCATTATAGCATCATGGTTATTACATGTAGTTGTTAAGTGTAAATGATGCGGGCTCAACATACCCACCCCCTTCTCGCACACTGTTTTTCCTTTTATTCTTTAGTATGTGTATATTTTAAATAGCTGCGAACAATAAAATCGGAACAAACAAAACGACTGGTACCTGCGTATGACGCGTGGTCAGGACGGCAGAGGCAGACGCGTTGTGCGTGTGTTCTCCTGTCACCCTGCACGTGTACGTCCCGAATACGTCACTTCCGTCGCCATTCGCTGAGCTAATAGTGACGGTGAACACGGAGTAGCACACCGTCCGCTTCTCGTAGGTTCTCACGTTGTAGCCCTTGCATTGTTGCACCCTTGCACTGGTGTACGGTCTCGAGTGTTCATATGAGGATGGATGTTCCTTCCCGTTGGGTAGGAGCCACGAGAAGTGGAGTTGTTCCTTACATTCTGCCCTACAAGTGAAGCTAGCTGTCCCTTGTGCACCAGCAACTTGTGTGGTCGGGATGACAGATACCTCAGGTGGTTCGCAAGAAAGGCTGTCTAGCGGAATGGTGCTCAGGTACTTTCGCTGTCCGTTTGCGTCAGTACACCGGATGGACCAGCGCAGGCGCTTGTTTCTCTTCATCAAGTGTCTTATTTCACGCAGTGTGCAGTCGCAGTTTCCATGCTCTTCGGCTCCGTCCAGTGTCATGCCTTCGGCGGCGGCGCGCTCAAAGTTCCGCATATCTTCCAGAGGCGCCCGGAGGATAAGGTTAAAGACCAGGTTGACCTCCGTGACAGACCTGAGCATCCAGATGTCTGCAGGGATGCGGGGGAGACAGTTGCCTGAAAGGTCCAGGGTTCGGAGCTCACGCAACTCAACAAACGTGCCGTTGTCGACGGAATAGATGGAGTTTACCGCCAGATTCAGAGTTCTGAGCTTCTGCAGTCCCGCGAATGTCCCTGCCTCGAGCGTCCGGATTTTGTTGGCGCTTAAGTCGAGGGTCGTCACATTCGGTACCGACTCGAAGGAACCTGCGTTATTTTTAAATTAGAAGAGCAAAAACATAAAATTTACTACATACAAGATGACTTCGCACTCAAGTTCGGCGCCATCTACACAAAATGGTTAAACAGAGATGTGGTAATTACATGGACAAATAAATAAATATACAAAATCGAAA